ACTTTTCATAAAGGTTTAATGCTTTGAAAAAGTTACAACCCTTCCGAAAGGTTACAACCTTTCATAAAAGGCACAACTCTTTATAAAAGTAACAACTCTTCAGAAAAATCAAAACTTTTGATAAAAGTCACAACTTTTCATGAAAGGAGAAGGCTAGTTTTGAAAATAAAATAAATTAAAAGGGAATACTTGTTTGAGGTGATGCCACATAGGCGGACTTAGGATTCTCTTTTATATATATACTAGGTAATTTGTCCGCGCTTCGCGCAGTCATGTAAAACCCCAAAAAAAATTCAAACTAAGACGTGAATCTTTAATCGTAGTGAGTAATATTTTACAAAAGAATTAAAAATTTCTCAAGTCTTAAGGTCAATTCTCTAGATTTAGCACCAAGAGTTCCAAAAAGAATTAGATTGGAAATAACAAAAATCTTAATTTTGCAAGTTAAGTTAAGTATGAGTTTTGGGTCAACTTCAAATGATCATAACTCTCAGTAAAGGATAATTTAGGTGTTCTACAAGATACCATTGGAAATATATTTGAATTAGCTTTCCAAATCCGCCGAGTTTGCTAAATTTCGAGTTCGAATAAGTGAGATATGACCTTTCGAAGGTAGGCTGTCCAGTTAAGGAAAGTTAGCCAAAAATAGTGAGGGATGTTTAGATCCTTTACTTGCCCAATCTGATTTAACTCATTTTTAGTCATATTTTAGGGGTCTAATCCTTTTAGGTTCAGATTTATAAACAATATACACCAAGGTTTTTAGTTGATAGTTCAAGAAGAGGCAAGAAAAGAAAAGAAGAAAACAGAGGAGAAAAGAGGCAAAGATGAAGGTGTTCATCTATGTTCTTGAGTCTAGTAGCGGATTTTTGCCATGGGTCTAATCCCTAAGAGGTATGTAAGCTTCCATAGTATTGGGTTAGTTCAGACACACGCCAATCATGTATTTTTTTCGGTAAAGTTTAAAAATTAGAGTTCTTGATGAGTTCTTGAAAGGTGTTCTTGAAGTTCATTCTAAATCTTGTTGTGTTGGAGTTTTGATGATTTCTTGAGATAAAATTGAGTAATTGGAGTGTTTTTCCAGTAGATTAGAGTGTAATTAAGTTAAGTAATCGAATCCAAGTTATTGGGGAAGATACCATTTGAATTTAGGCGATTTAGGGTGAGAAAACGAGCAAAAGTGCTCAGCAGAATTTCTGGGTTGGGGCCTTGCGCGGCGCGCATGCTAGAGTGCCTCAAACCCATCTCTGTTCATGAGGGGTTGGCTCCCCGCACCACCCATATCCCCAGGGTCGTCTTCCTTGTCTAGTTTGCCTCCGATTTCTCCGTTTGAGATCGTTTTAAGTGCTCCTTCACTCCTTTTCGATTCTAACTAATCTAAGCTACTTCTAAACACCTAAAATCAGTCCTAACATGATCATAATATTGAATGCATGATTCAAATTCAACTTAGGGTTGAAAGTTAAGTTTTTAAGGATTCTTTTAAACATTCTAAGAAACTCCTTTTGAGTACAATTGAGGAGTCTTCAACAACTTCTAGTAATTTGTTTCAAGGCTAAAGTAAATTAATATGAGTACGAAGAAAATTTATTCATGAGTATACCTTGTCACCATGAGATCCTTTATTTCATGAACCAAAACTCTTGAAAAAATAATTCACATTTAAGAGAGAGTTAAGAGTAGAGTTCAAGAAAGTCTTTAAGTTCAATTGTAAAATTCTTTGAGATCCATCATTGATTGAACTATGTTGAAGTAAATAAGAGAATGATAAGATTCATATGCATGAGTCCTTGTAGTTATATAGATATTTGAGTCAATTTGTTTCATGCCCATAATTCCGCATGAACTGGCATCTTTCAGAGAAGTAGGATCTTCAAGTTCTAAGCCTTTTAAGTGTTGAGTTCCTAGTCAATCTTTGAGATTGTTTCCTAATCATGTGATTATTACATGTTACCTATGAAGTACTTTATTTGAATTGTTGATGTCCATAATTTCACATGAACCCCATAAGTCGAGCAATCGTGAGAGAAGAAGTGCCTTTGAGTTCTCGAGTTGAGTAGTTCATGCTCATAATTCCGCATGAACCCTCCAAGTTGAAAATCATGAAATCATCCATAAACATGAGATCATGAGCCTTGAATCCATACTCCAATCCAAGGAAGTAAAGAGTCAAATCTAAAGTTCAGAAGTAACTTAAAGTGAAGTTTTAAAAGGTTTTTCAGGAGTCTTATTTAAACATTTTTAATTTTGTTTTTAAGACTCAAGTTTCAGGCTAAGTAAAGAGTAAGTTGAAGTTCTTCTCTTCAAAGGTTATAGGGGAACTAGTATTCCCTAAGATTTAAGTTTTAAGTAAGCAAAGAGTATAAAATTGAGTTCAGTTCTCAGGAGTTATAAGGGAACTATGTAGTCCCTAAGAGTTTAAACAAAACATTTTCAACTTTTGAGAAAGAAAGGAAGCTAGACTTCCACAGAGCCTATGGCTAGTTTTGGTTAAAAAAAAAACAAAGAGGAAACTAAAATTTTCGAGAGAGCTTTTAAAGATAAGTTTTGAGCACTAATATCAAATCACATAATCAGTATGTTTTAAAAACATTAGAGCCAGTATATATATTTTTGGGAGTAGTATTGAGCACTGATGTGGAGATGCGAGTTTCAGATTAACTCAACTCTCTATGAAAATCATGTAGTCATCATGGGTAGAAAAGGGTCATACTTTTTAGATGAATCCTTTTCACAGTTTACTAGTGGATCCATTACGCATTTTAGGTCCTATACCCTGGCAAGGCTAGGATGGCCGAGCAGCATGGCCCGAGTAACGATGCATCATCACTACAATTATTAAGTGATGGTTGTCGGTCAGAGAAACTCCCATAACAGTTTTAGTATCTTTATATACATCAGTTAATTATATTTTCATATACGTTGCAGAGTTATATTGTATCCTTGTTATACACACCGAGTTGACATCATGTTTTTAAACAGTTTTCTTTATATTGCACTTGTTTTAAAATGTTTTATATTAAAATAAGTTCAGTTGAGTATCTTAAGTTGGGCATCTTGAGTTAATTTGTACTTCTTTGAGTCAAGTATCATATCTTGAAGTTTAGTATCTAATCCTTGAGTTGAATATCTTATTCTTGATTTGAATAGAGTTGAAAAAAGGGTAAAAGTATGTCACAATTTATTCAAGAATCAAGCTTATGTTATGCTTTAGAATTCCCTTTACATGCTCATACATTCCAAATACTGAGTCATTTGGTCCGCATCTTCTCATGATGCAGACACATGTATCTAAAATCATCAACAGAAGCTTCGTTTATACATCTGAGATTCGGGTTAGCTATGGTGAGCCTCGTTGCTTTTCGAGGATGTCATTTACTTTTTTGTTTAGTATGAGGTCGTGGGTCTTGTCCTAACTTCCATCATTATCAGTTAGAGACTTCATAGATAGATAGTCAGTTTAGTTAAGAAGTCTGCATCATTCATTTATTTTATTAAATATTTAAAGACTAAAGTTGTCTATTTTATGGCTAGTTGAATATATTATTGTATTCAAAGTTGTTCATTTGAGTTAAAACTTCTAAAGTTGAGTTTATGAATTTTATTTCACTTTTCAAGCTTTGTATGCTTAAGTGAGTCTTCCGCTTGTAGTCAGCCAGGAAGAGGGTTCACTTGGGGACCAGCAATGGTCTTCGAGTGCCGATCACGTCCAGGATGTAGGCTCGGGTCGTGACAATTCATAAATAATAATTGCATTTAACTTGCAAATAATTTTTTTACTATTATCCATACTTTAAAATTAATGGAAAAATAGGTTCTTAAAAAATTATTAGCAATATTCCAACATGAATTTGATTATTTTTTATTATCGCATAACCCAAGAAACTCTAGTGAATGAATGATTAAAGAAATAATAAATCATTGGTTCTTTAATCAACATTAAAAAGAAAATAAAGAAGAAAATAAGAATATATATATATATATATATATATATATATATATATATATATATATATATATATATATATATATACATACATACACACACACACACTCATTTATTTATTGTGAACAAATATTTATTGTGTGTGTGTGTGATTTGTGCACCTTTTTCGCTTACGTGGCATCCAAGTATCTCCCACGTGCCTCAATTGCGTGGAGTGTATCACGTAAGACAAAAGGTGTACAAAATTACAAAAAAGAAATAAGTTCAAGGGGGGTAATAGGACATTAGGTTAGTTAAGATGTGTCTCTGGGATTTTGGTGATAGTCTAGGGGGCCACTTGTGCATTTTCCCAACAATTTTAATGTGAAATTTTTTTTTTTTTACAATTTTCAAAAAGTACAAACCATTTTAATAATGATTGATAGTAGGGTTATATTTATCAAGTTGTCACCTTATATTAAATTTTTCATAAAGGTGTGCTTCTGATAAACAATAGTGGACGTAAGGAGTCAGATATTAATTAGACATTTTATAAAATGAACGTTTCTAGGGGAGTTGGTCATAGACTAATGACTAACGGTTGGTGAGGCTCAAGTCCAACCACATTACAAATCTAGAGATACAGAAACTACAGTTTCTTTCTCAAGGCTTTAGATTAACTGGTAGGAGTGTATAAAATTAAATCGAACAAAAAATCGAATCAAATCGTAAATCGAATCAACTCAAACAAAAAATTCGACTAGAGGTTGGTTTGACTTAATTTAGTGTTGAAAAAAACTCGACTATATTTGAATTAGATTGGTTTAACTAAAAGAAAAAAATAACCCGAGACCAAACCAACCCAACATTATATATATAATTTTAAATTTTTATTTTATACATAAAAATATTTACTTTGATATAACTTTTAAATGTTTCTTATACTTTTTCATAATTTTTATCTTTTAATATATTATTTCAAGTTTAGAACTTAGAATTTTGAATTGTTCCATAAAGATTATAGTCCACAGATGTTGATAATCATACTAAAACTTAAATCAAAATCAATGGATACTAATGCAAAAAGGAAATCAATATAACATTAAGAATGACAATAATATTAAATATTTGTTCTTTGATTTTACATTGATTTAGACAAGTGAAATACATAATTTAATTTTAATTTCCTTCTAATGCTTATTAAACTTATTTTAGAATGATTTAGTACTTTTAAATTCTGATCATTGCCGATTTACCACCCCGGAAAATTAGATCATCTTGTTTCTTCTCTCTCCATCATCAAAATTTTCCTAGTTACGGCAAACAGGTATTGAACAACCTATTATGGCAAAGAGCATCCGGTGGTTGTATACCTCACTCAAAATTATCAATGTTGACTGGGGTAACTTCATCAGCCACATCAAAACGTCCCACCAAACGCGCAAAGAACACCATCTGTTGTTCAAGTGTGAATTTAATGTTTTCAGCCTGCATATGGCCAAAAAAAATCAGCTAATTTCCTCCAAAACTGACTGATTATAAGTTATCTAACCAAATCTGGAATACACACCCTACGGAAACCATGCTGCTCTCCTTCATATTCAACGAGTGCAACAGGCAATCCTTTTTCCTTCAACGCTTGGTAGATTTTCCGTGCTTGATCAGGTGAAACTACCTGCAAAAAGGGATGGAAAGCTCAATTCTAGCAGTAACTAGCTAAATATCCAACACTTATGATGAGCAAGACAAAAGACCATGCACTTTGGTAGAAGCTGCATTTATCAATTGAATGTATTTGCATCAAAACAATTTTCCAGAAAGATGGTACTTAGCCACAGGATAAACATGAATAGAAGGTTTAAGAACTTGCTATTTCTGACAAGTTTAGCAGACCAACCTACTGCATAAAATACAAAAGGCATAAAAAATAAACGTGTCCTTTAAATTGGACTCATCTGGCATCTATGCCCTCCAACTTTGGTGTGCAGAAGTAGGTATTTAAACATTAAAGTAGAACAAATACGTGGCATACTATAAATCAGCTCGAGTATTCTCACGCAAAGTACCACGTAAGACGGGTGTATCTACGTGTCAACTTTATACAAGTTTAACTGTTTACTTGTGCACACCCAAAGTTTGAGAGCATAAATGCCAGCTGAGGTTAAGTTAAAGGAAACGATTATGTATTGTGCCAATACAAAAATATATACAAAGAAAGTGGAAATATGAAAGAGTGAGCTTGCCAAAGACTATAGGAGGTTGTCAAATCTTTAGGGGGAAGAGAGTTGAGGGAAAAGATCAATGTAGACATTTCTTCTATAAAAGAATGACACATGCACGAGATTATGGGGTAAACTTCACATATGGTCTCATAATTATTACTTGTGTTTTACAAAAATTACTTAACAATTTTTTCCAACACAAAAATCATCATACTTTTAGATACTACCTAAAAAGTCACTAAGCCGGAAAATGCAAAACTTTCCGATGATCATAGGGATTGTATTAGACATATGTATCCAAGTTTCAGACAAAAACACAAAGCCAAGACTTGGAAAGACTAAATTTGGAATGCAAAGAACAAGTAATGAAACCTTTAAAAGATTTATGGACAAATGCGAAATTAAGGATAAGGACCATTTTTTTGATATTTTACTTTCTTCATATGGGTTTGATTTTTGGATTTTGGGTCGAGTCAGGTAAAAGCTTTAACTGAATTTCAATTTGTATTTAAAAAAAAAAAGTAAAAAGGAGTTCGCATCGGAAAGTTAAGCATTTTCTGCCTATGTGACTTTATAGTTAATATCTTTTAAGTTTAATGACTTTTGGTGTTAGAAAAGATAGTTAAGTGACTTTTGTGAAAACAAGTAATAGTTATATAACCATATGTAAAATACTCGGAGATTATGAAATTAAAAGGGACATGCTGTGCTTGCCTTGTCCTCCAATCCCTGAAATAAAATAATGGGGCAGGAAAAGTGGTCTACAAAATTGATAGGCGACCTCTCAAAATATGCCTTTTCGTCCCCTGCAATTATACAAAAGGCCTCAACACATACTGATAAACATCAATCAGCAGAAATACTTAAAACAAATAGATCGTTAACATTTTTGATTAGATAATTACCAACTAGATTGTCAGTATAGTGAGATTCGAACTTGTGAGTTTCTGCTCTCAGCAATTGCAGATCACCAATCTGTTCAATGAAAGATGATGGCATAAAGCATTGAAACTAAAAATCGGTTGATAAATGATACATAAGGAGCTTTGAGTAAGGAGCTTTGAGTAGACTTATGAACCAAACTGATGATGTTCTACATAAAAGATGATCATCTAAGATAACAGAATGCTCATATATAGGCACCAGCCTTAACTACAAAATTTTCTATCATATATTATTTTTTTGATGACCCTGGTGCCTGGCCTAGCTTGTGTGTACCTCGACTAATTCTAGGGGAAATCACCTAGTTTTTTTTTCAAAATTAGAACCTGAGACCTCATGGTGCTCAACCCACTTCATTGACCACTAGGTCACACCATTGGATGTATTTTCCATATTTTTATGATCAGTTTCTGGCTGCAGACACGAGATCAGGTAGGATATGGAAATGCGATATTACTTATCACAAACAAATTTCATGATTCACTCACACCATACAAGGAAGCTCCAGCCTTGAACACATCTTTAAATGCAAGTGCCGCTAATGTTGTATAACCACCAGCTGAACTCCCTGTAATACAAAGTCTTTCACCGTCAACCCTTCCGCTGTCAACCTGGATGAACAGACTAATTTACCATTACCAGCAAAATTATAAGTAGCATTAAAGGAATATATGAGTAAACTCAATTTTTTGATGTTACCAAAAATTTGGCACAATTGCAGCAGTCATTAACATCCACGATTCCCCAATTTCCCAATAGCCTTTCTCTATATCCTCTGCCATAACCTTCATATGAGCCAAAAACAAAATGATGTTAACAAACTTAACAGCTAGCTAACTAATCTACCACTGTGTCATACGCCATCTTGATTCCTTGGTCGCCTCTGCTTTTTCTACCAATATAAAGTAATGTCGTATATTTCCTTTTTATACATATCAAAGGTTCTGACAATCAGTCAATAAAAGCAGGAAACGACGTTCCCTCAAAGAACTTCAACTCTCAAAATAGTCCCTTAATCAAGAAACAATATAGAAAGATACAAGCCAACAATGGAAGGAGTAAAAGGTCATGTGTGTACCAGTGCTTCCACCATAATTCACATCCACATAGGCCCAACCACGACTGGTCCAATATTGAATGGTAAGATTTAAACATCCCCGTGCTTCAGCTGTAGGACCTCCTGCATCATCATAAACTACACATTAACATCTCATACAGAAACCAATTAGTCCAGCGTTTTAACTAAGAAAATCAGTCAGGAAGAAGCAGTTCTAATCAGGGAAAGAATAACCATGACTTCGCAAGAGCAATGGAGGTGTTTCTCCATGACTAGCCTGAAAATCGGTGTTTGTTGGTGGATAAAAGTATGCATATGCATATTGACCCGGCACATCTGTTGGGAACTTTATCAACTCTGGCCGACTGTAATAGGAGTTATACATCTCACTAACAGATGACGATGACCACATAATCTTGAAATCAATTACTTCTGTCCTCTGATCATCCAAAGTAACCTGCAGAAATAACAGAAAAATGCTAAAAAAAATGATCTACAATAAATCTACCAGTGTTTTGGGAAGCGAGAAGCGGTAAAAAGCGACGAGGGCTTGCTTCACAGAAGCGAGAAGCGTGAAGCGAAGCGCGCGCTTTTTTTAAAAAAAGCGACATTTAGTATAAAAAATAAAAAAATATTAAATAACTAAATAGAGGTAATATAGTCTTAGATTGAAAGAAATTACATAGGCAAAAATACTCATAAGTCATAACATATAAAGCAAAAAATCAAAAACATAATTAAATCACAAATATTCAAACTCCTATTCTTCGACAAGGCTGCTAGACTGATCACAAAATAAAAAAACAAAAAAGCAAAAGAATTTTAAAAAAAAAACAGAGGAGGCAGCAGTCAGTAATTAGAAACAGAGCAGGCAGCAGAGATTAAGAAAAGAAGAAGAAAAAACTAGAGTAGTCGAAACTCAGAGAGATGAAGAGATGAAGCACAGGCAAAGATTGTATATTTCAGGAGAAAAGAAACTCATAGAGATGAACTAATAAACATTAGCTAAAAAGAGATGAACAAAAAGTAACCTGCAGTCGCGGTCGAGGTTGAAGAGAGAGGCAGCCTCAGTCGAGATCGTCAGGAGAGAAAGAAGGGAAAGAAGTATTGTGAAAGAAGAGTAGCCAGGAGAGAAAGAAGGGAAAGAGTCGTGAAAGAAGAGTCGTGAGGAGAGAGAAGGTTATATTTCAGATTTTTTTTAAAAAAAACCTAATTTTTTAAAAAAAAACTAATTGTCGCTTTTTTTTAATAAAAAGCGCGCTTTATTGCGCTTTTGCCTTAGGGTCGCTTCTCGCTTCTTCATCTGAAGCGAGAGCTTTTTTCAGATCGCCTCGCCTCAAGATAAAAAAGCGCACAAGGGTCGCCTCGCTTTGAAGCGCGCTTTTCACAACACTGAAATTTACAAGTACTGTTTTCGAAATTTCGAGCAACTGGGAAGTTTGTCAAAAGAACCTTAGCTATTGACGATGGATGAACAGCAGATGCTCCGTCAACATACAAGCTATGAACCCCAGAAGTCTGTTTAGGTGATGAGGTAGTTATCAAGACAAGCACAATGATAAAAGCTCATAAAGGACACTAAAGATCCTGTTTGGATTGGCTTAAAATTTGGTCAAATCTACTTTTTAAGTCATTTTTAGCTTTTGAGAGTGTTTGACAAAGTTAAAAATAACTAAAAATAAGTTTAAAAATTACTTATAAAAAGTTAAAAAAACAAAAGTAGGAGTTAACCTACTTTTTATTTTTTGACTTAAAAGTCATTTTAGTTTGACTTTAAAAAGTTACTGTTTGAAAGCTTTTTTTTCCAGCCAATCCAAACAGGCTCTTAAGTACACAGCTTGTGCTACCAAGACCTCACTATATTGTTTATATCTGTGAAAGGAATATCAAGCACTGATATTTTGCCTAGGTTGACATCCAAAACTCCAAGATATGACTTCCCATTCTCCCTGCACATATTTTTCAATTTAGATTAGTTGAACTACATCAATTTTCCTCCCAGAATGATTCCCTTCCCCTAAGCGAGGGGAAGAGGAAAGTGATAAAGAACTTTGTTACCAAAATAATCAGAATAAAAGCACTATGATTTCAAATATCATGATATACACAAAATTATTAAATAGCAAACTACTAATCAGCTTGACCTGTAACTGCAGGCAATTAAAGTATCTTGGTCGTGGTTCTTAAGAAAGTCATAAGACTTCATCCCAAATATCCATAAGGGTCTTGTAAACTCAGCATCGAGAGAGTAAACTGGTAGCACCTCGTTAGAAGACTCTACCTGTCAACAACAAATAAAACAGGCCAATCAAGTTTACACTGTCTCACTTAATGTATGAGTTCAGTGCCAGCAACAATAACAAGGATGTGTTACTGGTAGATATTCCATTATTTTTCCACATAGATGCTGAATCTTTGATGCATATTCCATGCCCAATATCCAGCACCATAAATAATACGAAAAATGGAAGTCTGCTTGTGCAGAAATTGAACAAGCACAAAAGCTTGTTTTTCTTTTTCACTTTCCCTCCGTACCTCATTACTGGCTCAGGGGAAGGGGCCATGGCAGATTTCAGATTAGCTTTTTGGCATATGGTATCCACAAAGTTGGATTATGGTTAACTTGGGAAGGGTAAGGTGAATTCTCACTTTAATTATGCAAAAGTTCATGTAAAAGTTAAATGTTTTGCATTTTCCATCCAAATAATGTTTCAGCAGAGGACTGCAAGTGTAATGCTTATGTGGAGATGAGCCGTTTGGCCATGAGAATTATTCACATTTATCCCGGAATACTTTTTCACTTTATTTCAAAATCAGTGTTCTGGATTCTAAATTAGGATAAGTGCTCCAAACCTATATTCCAACTCCATCTCTATAAATTCAAAAAAAATGTTCTCTTCCCCTTCTTCGCAAAAAATACAACCAAACACAACCTCAATCATCAATTTCAACTTGAAAAATTCAAGATAAAGTGAAAAATATTTGAAATAAATGGTCAAACACTTACTAAGGTTAGTGTCTGTTAAACACTAAATAATAAGACTAAGTTAGAGTTGGACGCCACCATACCAATAATTTTTTTCATTTTCTTATAATTGCAGTATCTAGCTAATTGAAATTTTTAAGCCTTGATCGACAAAATATCAGAGTTTTAACCACTTGATTTCTTATTAATGCAACTTCACATCTTCTTTAACAAGAATGTGGTTAATAAAGGGCCAGACTGAAGGTTCACCATATTTGTAAGGCAATAGAATTTAATGACAATGCAACATCTACCAAGTATCCACAACTTTAAGTCTTAAGAAAGTAAAAAACACAAGGGTCAAATTCTTAAAGAGCAAAAGAACACAAGTTTAGGCTAGAACTCAAAGAAGATGAGACGGTTATTAAAAAAACTTCGAAGCAACTAGATGCAATCATACCCTAGAAGAGAAGTTCAAGTTAAGCCAGAATGCTAGACAGAAGATAGACATAAGAAGTTCAAGTTTAGACTTAAGGCACGATAAAAGATTACACAGATGGCAAAGATTTAATCAGTATGACACTATGACATCACACGAATGAGGACTTACCCATTTGTAAATATTCCAAAACCCACTTTTCCTGTCAGTTACAAAGTACAGCTCCCCTGCACCCCAAAAGAATAGCAAATAAATGCAAGGAACAAGAGAAATCAGTCTTGGCATATTGCAAGTGTAGAGCTAATCATGAAACAAGATCTATCATGATCAAATCACAACACAGGATATAGAATCTTACAGTTGAATACTAAGGCATATATGAACTCAATATTACCAGTCAAAGTATATCCCTTTTTTGTTGATAATTCAATAAGCTTGATTCAAAGAGATTTTATCCCCTAGCTTAATTATAGATATTATTTTATTTGATTAATTATCATCCCTAAATTAGAGATAGGACTAATTTACAAATACTCAAGCTCATATGTTGTACAAATATATTGGAATACAACAAAACTTCGTTATTCTCAAAATCTACATGGTATTAGAGCCATTGTCTTTTTTAGGTGAGTTTTCTCCCTCACAACACTAGGGTTCGAAGAGGTTTGAGTTTTTCTCTCTTTTACTGCTCCACTTTGTTTCCAAAGGTTGTGCATGTCAGAGTTGCTTTCTGACAGTGGTGTCCAAAAATCAACGCCACCACAAGCTTCCCCTTGCACCTACGACCAAAACCCAGCAAGAATCTCTGCTAAGAAACACTACACCCGCTATTGACAACACTATCAATGACAACATGTCAATAACACGCACCGGAGAGTAGGCCCTTGTCCAACTACTTACTCAGGGAGGTCTTTCCTCTGGTGGTTGTTGGCCTATTCCAAGCCTACCCATCCGGGTCCCACTATTTTCCAAAATATCGGATCTAAGTTTTCCTGCATACCAGACCATTGAGATGCTGGGAATCCTTATTTGATTTTTTTGAAAGTTTCCTTCCTTGGATTAGTACTGGGAAGCATTATAAGAGAGTCAACGAAGGATCATGCTGTATTCGGCACCAACCAAGAAGTCTGGGCTAACTGCCTCATGAGCAACCAAGGGCATCCAATTCCAATAATGACCACCTTCACTATTATTATTGTGGAAAACCAAAACATACAAAGGACACATACTGAAAACTACATGGTATTACTAGAAACTCTTATCCTTTGAGTGATTATAAAAGTACAACTCCTTTTGCGACTATACATGATGTATAAAGTCCTACTCAAACAATTTCTTTGCCTGGTACTTGATGGTTTGTTACTTAATCGCCTGTTGCACTAGGATGAAGTAGGTGTATATTTGTTCGAGGCCAAATTTGAGGTTTCTCGTGCTTTTAGTCATTTTATAAGATGATTTGTACTTAATTAGAGGCTAAGATAAAAATCTCGCGAACTGATTATGGCATATAATACTTGATTAAGGATTTGGTTCTTATCTGGAGTTCAATGAGATAATCCATCAACCTAGGTGTCCCTATACTAGTGCACAAAACATAGTTGCTGAAAGGGATACATAGGCATTTGTTAGAAGTGGCAAGATCTCTTACGTCTACCATGAATCTACAAAAATCCTATTGGGGGTGTCATTCTAGTTGTTATCTTATCAATAGAATGCCACTTAAAACCCTCAATTTTTCAAATTTCTCTAGAAACTTGAAAGGGTGAGATCAAACTAAACTGTATCAGGCTTTTTTGTTTCTGGTGCAAGCAAATGTATTTAGAGGACACTAAATCCATTATAGATATCCTAGGTTCCTGTCAGGATTCAGATTCAGTTTTCTTACTTTTTGACAAGCTGTAAATATGGTTTAGTGCAACCCAAGCACTGGTTTCAATGAATATACACAATGTTACCTTCTCAAAAAAATATATAGATAGATTGTTCCTATAGAGGTGTTTGTGTACTATGTTCACATCATGATCTAGGAAACTTGATACTAGAGTCCTTAAGTTTGTCTAGGTATTCTCCTACATATATATAAAAAAAGATACAAATGCTGTCACCCTCCCTCCAGGAGATCCTTTGTCAGCATGATACCTTTCGAGAGTTTGAGCCCTATTTTAGTATTACATCTCACCTCTTTAGGGGGAGAGCAATAGAGAGGAACAGATTATTCTCCTTATTTCCATTATTGAAACCAATGTCAGGGGAAAGTGAAATTGGAGACAAAATTCAAGGGGAGACTATTGGGCATTTGAATAGACCTAATTTGCTAACGTGCACAAGGAGAAACAGAGAAGAAAAAGAAATCATGCAGTTTGCCAAAGTTAAATCCTCTTCTACTTGTGAGTTATCTGCATTTCCTAATGAATTAGATTTGCCAATTTCTCGTAGAAAAAGAGTCAAATCTTGCACCAAATATACTTTATCTAATCTTCTTCTATAATTCTCTGCCTTCCTCCAATATATCCCTTGGCATTGTCTATTTCTTTTATGTCTATTTTCTAGAATTGTAGGGAAGCTTTGGAAATCCTAATTGGAAGCAGGCTATAACTGAAAAACTTTAGGACTTACCAAAATATGAGACTTGGAACATGTCACCTTACCACATGACAAGGAGTTGGTTGGATATGAATAGGTTCATACCGTAAAGACAAAGTTGATAGTTTGATTGAAAGATTCAAAGCAAGATTGACGGCTAAGGGATTGACTCAGACTTATGGAGTGGATTATCAAGAGACATTTGTCCATGTTGCTAAAGTGAACACCGTTAGAATTCTTTTGTGCTTTGTAGCTAAGCTTGATTGGGACTTGCAACAATTAGAGAAAAAAATGCCTTTCTGCATGGAGACTTAAAAAAAGAGGTGTATATATAGATCCCTATAGAAAGTTCCACTTTGTACTTGGTGTGTATAGGGTAATGCCAAGGACTACTAAGGACGTACTATACAGCTGGGAAGAGATAGGAAGAAGAGGTTCTGGTGAAGATTGGTGGGAGTTAATCCCATCATGCATCTAGTGGATTCTGTGAACAGAAAGAAATGCAAGATGCTTTGAGGATAAGAGAAACAAAACCCAGAAGATTAGAATGAATTGCCTTAGCCTTTTGTATTTTTGGTGTAAGCAAAATATGATGGAGAATATAGAACTTTTTGTTGATTTCATAGGAAATTTGTGATCTCCCATAGGGTAGTGTTGACATGCTCTGATGAGATTGTAAGTGACCTATGCTCTGTTTGATGATGAGTCTATTGTGAATACACAAGTACCTTTATCTCAAAAAAATTATAAACATCCCTATTGGATTTGATACTGAACAAAGTCAAGGTAAGGTGTATAGATTGAAGCAACTTTATACGGTCTTATGCAATTCCCTAGAGCTGGTTTGATTGATCTTGCAAAGCTACGATCTTTTTTGGCTACCAAGTACCAGCAAACCAATGTTGACCATACCCTCTTCGTGACAACAAAAGAGTAAACTCACTCTTCTCGTAGTTTATGTTAATGACATAATATGAGATGAGAAAGAGGAGATAACCCGATTGAAAGTTGTTGGCACAAGAATTGGAAATCAATGATCCAGGAAAATTACATTTAATGGGAATTGAAGTTTCTATGTCAAAAAGAGGGTTCTATCTCTCAAAAGGAAGTAAATTCTAGATTGCTAAGAGACTGGTATGATAAGTTGCAAACCAGCAAATTTGCCCATTGAAAGTAATCACAAGTTTCAAACAGGATTCGGAGAGCAAGTTGATAAGGAGAGCTATTAGAGATTGGTTGGAAGAATTATTGCTCACACACACTAGACCAACATAAACTATTCAGTCAGCCTGATGAATTAGTTGATGCATGATCACAAAATATCACTATATCATCAGCATACTGTAAATGACATACCTCCATTTTCTCCCTACTGTCTTCTATCTCAAAACCTTAAATCCACCTATTCTGCAATGTTATCCTCATCATGCTATCAAATCCCTCCATTGCTAGTATAAACAGGAAAGGAGACAAGGGGTCAACTTGCCTAAGGCCCTTTTCAGAAGCAAAAGAGCCACAGCTTCTAGTTTCTCCATTCACCACAAAAGAGAAACTATCAGTCTAAATGCAAAAGTCTATCCATTTCAACCATTTCTCAGCCCATTTATCTAAGAATATTCAGCAAGAATTTCAAGTTCACGTGATCATAAGCTTTTTCTAAGTCTAGCTTGCACATGACACCTGCTTTTGCACCTTTAGAGTCCAAACAATCATCAGCAGTTAGAGTTGCTTCCATTATCTGCCTCCCTCTTATAAATGTCATCTTATGCTTGTTAACCAAATTGTTAACTACCTTGTTAAGTTTTTCAGCTAGTAACTTTGCCACAATCTTCTTCAAAATCTCCTATTTCATGAGCTAGAAAAAAGGACATAGGAAATCCACAACCCCAGGATCCTTCTCCATTGCAGACAATTTATTGCTTTCTAGGATTTCTGCCTCGTAAAAAAAAAATTGTCCGTGTAAACCCTCTTATTCTTTGACAGAGATCTCTGTAACTTCATGTAGCACTAATTCTAGACTTCACTCTTTTGTTGATGTTGATGTTCTTGTACAAATTCTGAATAGCTTCTTTGATCCCCTCAAGATTTGTAACCTCAACACCCTCCCACAACTTCAGGTTATCTATGGAATTGCCCTTTTATGAGCAGTAGATATCATACGGAAATATTATTTTATTTTTGTCTCCTTGTTTCAACAATTGTATCCTTGATTATCTCCTTGTTTCATGCTACATCTTCAAACTCCATAGCTGAGTTTGACTTCCTACATTATCCCATCATTTGTGAGACTTTGTTCTTGGATAACCTCCAAGTTTGTCAATTGGTTGAGAATGTCTTTCTTTTCTCTGTTACCAGTTCCCCTGTTATAACTATACTTCACAGCGTAAACAAAAGAAAATGTTCCAACTCAGAGCAGTCATTGTCTTACTTTGCTCTCTCAAGCTAAAATACAAGCTTATTCTAAGTGCTCATCTACAGCCAAAAGAATAGTGGCTCAATTATCAAACTGCTGATATGCGTTTTGTAGGCAGATTAAAAATACCATAAAATACTAGCTCTAAATGCAAGTGCATCAAGAGTACACTCCATACCTTCTACGACATTTCATAGAGAAATGATAAGGCAAATCGAAGAGATAGTTACAGGCTAAATAACATTTCCAGATTGTACAAGAAATCAACAGCCAGTCCAGTGTTTGCTGAAGAAGAACTTACATAGTCCAAATTGCAGAGTGTACATAAACAGGCCCCTCCCAAATGGTTGTCTATTTGTTTTGCAAGGAGAAGTTATGCTTCAGTTCCAAGATTTGACACTTAATATCTTCCACAACAAAAGGCCTGACCCTCCGAACTCCATTTTCAGATATAAAGATCTTTGAATTGAAATTTATGCAAGTAACAACTTAAAAATCACTAGTTTTTTGTGAAACAGTGAGGGACCATTTTCTGATTTTGAGGATCATTCTCATTATTTTTGAAGCTGTGTCAGGCCTTCATATAGACTGGGGGAAAAGCTACATCTATCCAATTAATGAAGTGGTACAAATTGAGGAGCTAGCCAATACACTAGGGGAGCAAATAGGGGAATTACCCACCATCTCCTTGGGCATGCCATTAGGTGCAAAAAGTAAGTCAATAAGCATTTGAAGTGGAGTGATAGAGAAGTGTGGGAGAAAATTAGCAAACTGGACAAGGAGGGGGGGGGGGGGGGGGGGACTTACAGTGTGCTGGATGCCTTACCAACATACACGATGTCTGTTTCCCAGCACTAGCTGGTGTAATCAACAGAATAGAGGTACTCAGAAGAACTTTCTTTTGGCAAGGAAATGAAGATAAGAGAAAGTATCATATTGTCAAATGGGAAGAAATGAATATAAGCAAGAAGATAGGGGCTGTGGGCATCAGAAACATGAAGTTTCAGAACCAAAGCCTTATGATGAAGTGGTTATGGAAGTTTGCATCTGCTGAGAACTCATTGTGGAAGGAAGTGATTGCTAAAATATGGAATGAGGGATAAGTGGATGTCAACAAAGGTGACCTCTCCCTACGGGTCTAGTGTATGGAGATCTATCAATGATCTATGGGACTTGGTGCTAAAAAGATCATATTGTAAGGTGGGAAATGGCAGAAAGGTGGCTTTCTGGATGGACAAATGGTGTGGACAGGTCCCTTTAAGCCAAAGGTTTCCTGACCTCTCAACCTATGTCAAATGCAACAAGCAACTGTAGCCGAATTATGGAATGATCAGGGTTGGAATTTGCACTTCAGGAATGATTGGGAGATGTGCAGAATAACAGATTTTTTGGTTACCCTAGCACAATTTAGCAACCTGACTGAGGAAGAGGACTCACTGATATGGAATGTGGGGAGCAAAGGGTTGTTTCACAGTAAATTCAGCATATGAAGATCTCAAGACAGTTGGCATTGAAAAAGTAGAATGGCCTTGGAAGATGATATGGAAAACCAAGATACCTTATAAAGTAAACTGTTTTACTTGTCTGTTAGCTAAGGAGGCAGTTTTGACACATGAGAAGCTGAACAAAAGAGGCTTTCAACTGTGTTTCACGTGCTTTTTGTGTGAAGAGCAAGGAGAGACAGTCAACCATCTCTTCTTACACTGCAAGTGGACAAACCAGCTGTGGCAAATGTTCACCAATATGAGAGAGATTAAATGGGTGAAACCAGGAAGGATTAAAGAGGTTTTGAAGTGCTGGAATAAAGATGGAAATGCAGGAAGAAAGGAGGAGAGATGGAAGATAGTCCCATCATATATATGGTGGACAGTATGGCTAGAGAGGAACCAGAGATGTTTTGAAGGAAAGCAGAGCAACATACAAAGATTTTAGCTTAATTGTTTAGCACTGTATTGTTTTTTGTGTACACCAGTAGTCCTAGATAGATCAGAAGTAATCAGCACAAATATAGATTGGTTGTAACTTGTAACATGGTAGGTATAGGATCCTATGTAATTACAACACTTTTGGAGGGGAACTACACTTTTGAGGTAGTATACATGTGGATAAATATAGACTAACTGTTACATTTCTCAAAAAAAAGAATTCCAATTTATGCTACCAAAAGCCAATAATATTCACTAAAGCACAGGACAAATTTTTAATACTTCTCTACCGAGACTAATCCTAGAAACAGAGAAGAACAATAAAAGTTTATACGATGCACAGGCTGGCATTTATTCAAGAGTACCTTGAGAAGACCATAGGGGTTCAGTAGGAGATTCCACAATAGTAGGATCACCACCAGCAACACATATGCGGTTTTGCACATCCCTAGGGGAAAGACAAAGAACGGCAAAGAGCAAATCAACAAGTAGATGGTTATGTTCCTCATATACTAGGACTCAAAATTTAATTATTTATTTGGAAAATGGTGATAGCTTATGCAGGCCTAAATAAAATGTGATCTCTCCGTGGATGTGCCTCCTCTTGTTGGTAGGAGCATCAGTGTGTCATATAGCTGCGTACATCTGTGTGTTTTCGACTGTGTGCACATGTGGGAGAGAGGGAGATAGAGAGGGAGATAAAGAGAGAGAGAGGGAGAGAGGGAGAGGAAGAGGGAGAGGGAGAGGGAGAGCGAGGGGGAGAGAGGGAGGGAGAGGGAGAGAGAGAGAAAGAGAAAGAGAGAGAGAGAGAGAGATTTATTATGGTTGTACCCATTCTCTGATATATAACCAACCCAAAGCTCCGATCTGTCCCATGGCATATTTGGGTGACCCCATTCAATCCATGCGATACGGTCCCCTTTGGGGTCAATCCGAGGAGAAGCATAAAAGTCATTGCCCCCAACTAACAGCCTTGGTTCTGCATTTATGTGCCAAACAAGCAAAAAAAAAAATTAAGATCAGAAATTCACTCATTGTACAGTCCAACAAATATTGCCTAGGAGGGGAGGGGCAATACGAAAACAATTGAATAGCCCTTCATAATACACAAACATTCTTTGACAGTTTTGTAGCCCATCACCGAGAAACAGATGTAAAAGCAAAGAAAATTCACATTGAATCATGGTTAACCAATACTGACAGATTCTCACCTTGATCGCTGTTACTGCTCAGAGCAATAGACACAATTGTGGTAATCGCATTTATACCACTTTCACGTTGATCTACAGAAGGAGCAAGGAATAGGATAAAATTTCTCAGAGAATCAAGCTAAAAATTTGAAGGATAATGAATATTTAGAACCTTCTCTCACTGTCACATAACGGTTAAAACGAGAGTCAAACACTCCATCAGCATAGCATACACTTCGTCCGCCATAATCAGGAGTGAGGGGCAACGGAGCAGAATCTAGTACCAAAACAACAGGGATAAATTGGAAAGAAACATCTCAAAGATATTGATAATAAATACGATGAAATAACAACATACCGGGTGTAATCTCATGGGTGGGATCTAGGGAGGGTAGAATGTACGTGACCTTACCCCAACCTTACAAGGTCAGGAGGCTGCTTATGAAGAACTCTCGTCTCAAGTAACACATATCAAAGCAATTTAAAGTTTTTCGAAAAATTTACAGAAGAAAAGCAGCCCTAGAAAATAATAGAGAAATCAGCACACATGGCATACAGTAAAAGGAACAGCAACAACAAAATAATGCCATAACCAAAGCAAAGAAACAATAGGCTGCAACATAGATCGAAGGACAAGAAACTCCGAGACTAGTACTAATGCTATTGGTATGCAAATAGTATATGATGAACTATATGCTAAAATGAAAGAGCTTCAATCATCCAAAATTAATATGAATCAACTTGCTACCTGCGAGACAGTTTCTTTTTTTTCTGGTTATTACTTATTTCAATTCAACAATAACCATAAAATGGACAGATCAAATATGGCACATTTGTAAACGAACGGCTGCTAATAATCCCAAATATGTACATAAATAAAATTGTCTCTCCATCGAAGCTTATATTAAATATACTACAAAATAGTAAAAACTGGATGCAATTATATTCAACTGCATTCAATGACATAGAAAACAAAGGAAAATGAAGACCTAAGGACGAAATGGACTGTTTATATAGTCTCTGATCCTTGTAATTAGAGAAGATCAAAATGTCTCCTTGTATACAAAAATCACCACCACCATACTCCTGAGCCAACGTCCTCACAGCAAAATCTTTAGGAGTTACATCTATAGGGTCTTCCCCTGGTTTCCCTGGTTCCTTCACAATAACCGCTCGTCTGAATCCAAAAAAAAAAAAAGCTCAAACTTCACGCAGAACACAAAGACAGTAAACATGAGTTCACATTCAAACTATGATAGTGGAACAATCAAAAATTCAAACTTTACATGAAATCCAGAAGGAGAATATCACAATATTTATGGGTTTTGGGGTTTATACATCACGACAGTAAACATGTGTTTCAAATGCAACTTATGAAGGCATGTGAATAAGCTTTCAAACTCAACATAAAACCTCCTCAAGAAAATATCAAAATCTCTATGGGTTTTTGGAGTTAAGAGCGAAGACAGCAAACATGAGTTTCATATGGAAATCAAGAATGCTAACAATATATACAAACACGACAGTAAATCCATGAGAAAGTTTTACAATATTTTTGGTTTGAACACAAATCCATAAACATGAGTTTCATAGGCAAACTAACTTCTTTTTTATGAATGTGGTGTTCAGGCCAGCTTTTGTGCACTTCAACTAATTCCATGGGAAGTCTGTCACCTCCCACCAGCACCAGGTACCAGGTAACGTTGTCCACCAAGGCTAGGACAGATGGGAAGAATAACTAAGTGTTTTTTTGTCTCCGTCAAGTTTTAAATCTGAGACCTCAGAATTCTCAACCACTTTATCGACCACTAGGTGACACCCTAAGGTGCAAAAACTAACTTCTTTTTGGTTTAACCATCTATATACAGAACCCACTGATCTGATTAATCTGTATTCATGATTGGTCCATTAAAGGGGAAGCATGTGCCACTCCTCACCCATGATTACTCCATTCCCAAGGCTCGAATTGCTCGAACCCCAATCCTCTAACTGAGGGTGGAGAAATCTCCTCTATGGCTCTATCTCACCACACCTCTTGGTGGTGCTAGTGTGGTGTTCATGCGCTAATTAGGAATGCATATGAACCCGAAAATCAAACTAAACATGATCCTCAAAAAATATCAAAATCATGATAAGCTTTGAGGTTTAAACACTAAGACAGCTTTCATCGGAAACTCATTAATACACAAGATATCAAAATGCAAATTACATAAAACAAACAAAGAAACGTCACAATATTGATGGGGTTTGGAATTTAATTATGAAGTTAGTAAACATGATTTTTTTCATATGAATTAATACCAATTTAAACTTTCAGATAAAACCCACTAAAGGATTAGGGGTTTAGAGGGCTTCATATGCACTGTACCCGGACTCTGTAGGTCGAGATTCTAGCCAGAAAAGACGACCAAGTGAATCAACCGAAAAGCCACCGAGGCGTTTAGTGGATCCAGAAACGATATCAGCGGTGATGGGCGACTTCCAAGAACCATAGGGTGCTATGTGTTTCTTCACATTGGGATTTGTAGAAGACATTCTAATGGGAAGAGAGAATTTTCTGGTGAGTAGCTTTGTTGAAGGAGTAATGTGAATGAGTGAAGATGAGAATGGTGATACTGATGCAAAGTAGCAGAAAGCATAGTGACGAGTGAGAGCGGGTATGCCTGAAAAACCCATTCACTCTGGCCCGAATCTAGAGAAAATTAAATGAAAGGTCAAATAAGTTTTTATTTTGTTTTTGCTAATTGATCACAAATTATTTTTAAAATGTAATTAAGTAAATTTGAGATCAAATTAATATTTTTAAAATTTTCTAATTTTTTATAAAATACTAAAAAGTATTTTATTTTTTCAACTTTTATAATTTTATTTAAAACATTCTTTTCTAAAAATAAATAAATAAAAATAGGTATTTTTCTTCTTTTTGTCTCTTCTCTTCTTCTTCCTCTTCAGAAATATGAAAAATCGACTATCAAAACAAATATTCTCTCCCATTATTTTTTTATCCTTCTTATCTTCGATCATGGCTCTCTCCTCTTTCTGAATTGAAAATTGTGTTTGACTCAAAATGAGTAAGTCATTTTTTTGAGAGATTTCACAATTTTGAAATAATACTACGCTTTTTTCTTGGGTTAATGAAGAATAAATCGTTATATAGATATGAAAAATGAATAATAGTGTAATAATACCTATTATTTATTGTTTTAGAAAGAAAATTAACAAATCAAAAAGTCATAATTTGAGAAAATGTATATGTAATATTAACATTTACTGAAAATTCTTTTTTTTTGTTGTTTTTGTTTTTCTTTTTGTGACAATTTTGTTCATATGATCTAAGAAATATAGTTTTGTTCAGTTGTCCACAAATATCTGAAGTGTAGGAGATTGAAAAAAAACTATTCCTCAATCACTATCTATAATTAGTGAAAGAAAAAACAATGACTACTGCTCTGTATCACATTCAAACCCAAAATGCAAGGAGAAGGAGAAGGACTTAGAGATGGAGAGGGAGAAATTGAAAAAGAAAGCGAAAGAGAAAGAAAAAAAAAGTTGAAGTCGTCAATTGTGATGTAAAGCAATAATATCCACCATTGATTAGATTGATTGTTATGTATATCATTGTGAATTGCTTTTTTTGTTAATAAGTTGTATAAAACAATTGGTGAAGTGTTTATTTTTGTTGATAAATTAATGATTTTTTTGTTGAAACAAATGTCAATTATGATAGAAAAGAAAAAATGCGGTGTATGTGCAACATATATAACTTATGTTGTAAAAAACACTACAAAATTATCTACATGTGCCCAACAGACAGGATATATGTGGCAACATATGTCACAAAAAGAAGATATGTTGAAGCATATCTCATAGAAAGAAGATATGTAGCAACATATGTCACATAACGAAGATATATGGTAACATATATCACAGAAAGAAGATAGTGGTGCAACATATGTCACAGAAAGAAGACACGTGGCAACATATGTCACAGAAAGAAGATATGTACCAACATATGTCACAGAAAGGAGATATGTGTCAACATTTCATTGTTACAAATGTGGTGTCTGTGACAACATATAACTTTTATAGTAAAAAAACTATAAAATTATCTGCATATACCCCAACAGAAAGGATATATGTGGCAACGGATGTCACACTATGAATTATCAAAAAAAAATCTAAAACAATGTCTTTTCATTTTACTCTCTCATCTCCTTTATAAAAGGTCGTTTTGTTTCATATTTCAAATTTAATTTTTTTTAATTTTCATTTTTTTTCTATCTTTTCTTTCTCTCATTCCATTATTTTTTTAGAATTCAAGTTGTTGCTATGTTTTCTACAACATCAGTGGTAATATGTTGCGATTTTCTTCTACAACAAAGCGTCGTTGCCTTCATCGTTTCTAGTTTATCGTTGATATCTTCTAAGATAAAATATAATAGTTATTGATATTAAATCAGGACTTTGTAGTGATTTTTATTACTTATTTGTTTGTAGGATGGTTGGGTTGTTATTCCTTTTAAAATATTATTTGACAAAAAAATACATTTTAAGATGTAGATGTCGCCACATATGACTTGTCTGTTGCAATTTTTTCAACAAAACGTGCATATGTTGTCACATATGTCACTTCAAGGTTGACTTAATCAATATTGAGCGATTTAGGAATGAAAAAATATCAAATTGGATTTTACTATTTTGGACCATAATTAAACATAAAAATATGTTATAACACATGGAACAACAATTTCCATGAATGTTATATAACCATCATACGATGTTACTTGGTCATTGTATGATGAACTAGTGATATGATAGTCTTTGTAAAAATAATTGATAAAATTGATGAAAATTGTTGTATTAGATCATATTTTTATGCTTAGACATGTTGTATGACTATATATTGGTATTAAATGTTGAATTAGGTGACAATTTAATTAAATTAACTCCAAACAGACCATTTTGTAATATACATATGTTGCTACATATGGCATGTCTATTGCAATTTTTCCAATAGGACTTGTATATGTTGCCACATATGTCACTTCAAGAATGGGTTAATCGATAAATTGAACGATTTAGGAATGCAAAAATGTCAAATTGGACAAGATTTTAGTACTTTTGACCATAATTAAGCAATAAAAATATGTTATAACACTTGGAACAACAATTTACAACGATGTTATACAACTATCATATGAAGTTACTTGATCGTTGTATGATGAACTAGTGATATGATAATATTTGTAAAAATAAGTCATAGAATTGAGGAAGGTTGTTATATTATACTATAATTTTATACTTAAACATGTCGTAGGACTATATATTTGTGTTACATGTTGAATTAGGTGACAATTTAATTGAATTAACCCCTCAAAGACCAGTTTATAATATACATATGTTGCCATATATGACATTTTTCTGTTGTAAAATTTTTCCAACAAAATGTGCATATGTTGTTACATATGTCATTTCAATGATAACTTAATCAATAAATTGAGAAAGTTTGTCACGACCCAAATCCGGGCCGCGACTGGCACCCACACTTACCCTCCTATGTGAGCGAACCAACCAATCTAACCTTAACATTTCAATGTAATAACAACAAATGTAATGCGGAAGACTTAAACTCATTAATAAAAATCAATAATCAACTTCTATAACTCAAAGACTTATCATTATCCCCAGAATCTGGAAGTCATCACCACAAGAACATCTACAATCAAATGACTAAACTAAGAGTATTCTAAAAGCTAAAAGTACATAAGAAGCTAGTCCGTGCCGGAGGTTCAAGGCATCAAGACATGACGGAGGAGATCCAGTCCAAGCTAGAAATGTTAGCTCACCCTGAAGATCCGGTGTGACGAAGACTGGCTTGAATTACTGTTGAGTCGAAGATGACAGCACGTTTGCTGCATTCCA